AAATACCTTTTATTTGGGAAAATATTCCTACCCTCAATTGACTCGCGCTTACGTTCGCCTGTTTGTACAGTTACATTCGTGCGGCGTATTAGATGAACTGATTATCGCTACCATTAGTGAGACTAACCTTACGGCCGCAAACCTGGCGGTGGCTATAGTGACCACTGCAACAAAAATGACCACAAAGTTCTATGTTCGAGTTTCTAACTAACTCAGTTCTTCGGCTCCAAGTTCTAAGATTTTTTCAAATGACGCTCAACCATAGATACAGTGCGTGAAACCTTGGATCAGATCGCATCGATTTTATGGTGTCAACATTATCGGTTGATTCAATTTGTCTTTGGACCCAGTTTTCATGAAAGCATTGATCATTACATGCAGGGGTACAGATATTCAAACTCATTTGACCTCATGCTCACTTGGGCTTTTATGTTGGATTGCTCACCAAAGACAAAATGTATTCCACAAACTATTACCAGAAAGAATAGTTGAAAGGCCAAAGCACACCCTGCTATATTAGTTTTAACACTGAACGATCGTTTGGAGACAACCACGCGAATTCCACATTTGAGAATGCTGCGGGTTTGTTATGCCAAGAGGCGATATCCATGAATAGAAAAATAGCATTCACAAGAAACATGTTGCGGTTGTACTACCGGACATTCAATTTTGGAATAACGCAGAAGTCATTCAAGCCATCTACATCACGGAAAGATCGTGGAGTTTCCTTGAAATTCCAAGAGAATTTGCTACAGAGCCCTGAGTTGCAACTGATTGATTGTAGTGGTCCTAGCCTAGGGGATGACGCATACCACGGAGAGACAAGTTACAGTTTTCGGACAACTGTTATCAATCAAGCTTCCCGACTGACGTCAGAAAAGTGCGTACGTGCCACAGAGTCCGGATTACAGACCACAAGTTGATTGTACCAACCAATCAGAAACCGTGCGGCCCAGATAGAAGCTAAGCAACGCAAGAAATACTAGCACGCGATTGACAGACTTAGGCGACCAATGAACTTGTTTTGTCCATGTTATTTAATCCCCCTGATTTCTTTCAATAAATTAATTGCTATTTCTGTGGCCTTCTCCTTTCGTCTCGGTTCCATGGGATACTGGGTGCAAGTACCGGCGTGATCCAGTGCTTACGTCTCTTCCGTGATTCGTATGTCGTGCCTACTACGAATACTACATTGATGGAGCATTTCCAACTCACGCTTCTCTCTGATAGATAGGACTCTGCACATGACAATGACTGGGACTGCTGTGTGTACCTTCCTCACACTAGGTGAAACGTCATTGGTTGAATGCGACGTTGGATGGTCATTGGTCAACGACCAAGTAAGCATCAGGAATTGCGACATATCAAGATGGCGACAGTATATAGCCAGGACCTCGGTTATTACCTATAAGGTGAGTCTGCGTTCGTTAAAAGGTTGGAACGTATTGAAAAATGCGACTTCTTATGGGTGCAAATAGCAGGGGATTGACTGTAATACCATTTCTGCGGCACTTTGTGACTGACATCAAAGACCTACCAAGTGGAGGTACGATAGCCCGGGGGCGGTGGTGACGTCAGCAAATTATTATTCATGGGGATACATGTTCGAATCTCAATACCACCACCTGAGTTCTTCATTCTCTGTTGTATAGCAGTCCTTTGATTGACCGCTTCCCCCTTCTTGATAAATTTTTTCATCATGTATTCGATAAAACGAAGTTAAAATGAAAAATAAAAGTGGTCAACCGGCGTCATCAACCCCATTTTTTATTTTACAACGGTGCTTATTTTTCCAACAGAACGACGAAACTGTTTGACTAGCGTTCTTAGGAGGGACATTACTCAATCTTCCCGTAGTTAGCCGATAATAGACAGTCCGGTAACCCAGAGACAGTTTTCACTACTTTCTTTGATCATTGACCCATGGCCATTTCGGTTTACCACATAAAAAAGCTTCGCGTCCGAAAGCCCAGGTATGCTCGAGGGTCGAGAGTGATATCCCTTTCCTTGCTTCCCAGGAAACTACAACACAATCCAGCGTTTCAAATAGTCTCTGGTGAGAAAGCTCTACCCACTGCCTCTAAGTGGTGTTTCCCCACCATTGTCGGTTCACCTAGAACTGGCTAACAGGCCTGATCTTAAAACAAACAAGTGGCATATGAACCACACCTTCCTAGTTGTGGCAGTGGTCATCGGCTTGATTAGATCTGGAGGTTTGTTGGGCACCTTGGAAGTTTAATTCCGTCCAAGGGGTGTAGGATCCGATGAACTGGACACCAGGCTCCAATGGATTATGGTTTTCACGTACCACCCAGTTGTCTTGCAGATAAAGCTTTAGCTAGCCGAAGTCCACGGTTGCTAATCCCCCGAGAAATTATTGGGTAATCTGGTAATATTCGCCCACTATAAATATGGCTGTGTCGTGATTTGTTTAACAGTTTGGACTCAGATAAGTGAAAAAATAAACACTAACAGTCACTTTGCAATAGTTCAGAATGGAACGGCAGGGATAAGAACGCAATGTTAGTGCAAAAGACAGCTTATATTCTCATGCTTGCCTTTGTAACACCAAAGGGTTGTGAAACAAGAATATGACGACCGCGAAATCTGCAGGATTACGAAACCACGGTTATTGAAGCAACGCAACCCGTCTCAAATACTGGCATTAATAAGAACCGTTTATCTAATGTCATCTTCTAAGGATTTATCCTCTGCTAAGCGCCTCTCGTTCATTGGATATTCACTCCTTCACACCAGTGTTCGTTGGTTCCCGAATAACACCTTTCATATTGTCAATATCCCACGTAACTATATGAGAGTAGTGGAGGAAGTGATTCGATTATATAGCGAATGAAGCGTGAAAGGAAAGGCTAACTTGAGTGGATAGTATGATTGCGTTCTACCCGTTAAGTCTCCGGTCCGATGTATTCACACATCGATAATGAGACCCGACCAAATGGAGACATTTGTTCAATGTTCCATGGCTTTTCAGTACACGCTTCATTTTCTCCGTACACCATACAACGCATAACCTCCTCGTTGTTCATGCACCTAGATGTCACATTTTACTCAAACTCAGCCAAACAGAGGTTTGTCATTACGACTCATGGAACTATCCTGTAGACTGACATTTCGATTGCATCTTCAACATTCGAAAATCATCACTGGTCAAAATAACAATGCAAACCCTTCAGCAAAAGGAGAATGACCAACTGGCCATAAAATTGACATCAAATCTGCAAACTTTGTCTCATTCGGTGCTTTATTATTTTGGGACTCTGATTCGTAACATTTGGGACCAAAAGACATTATCCGGTTTGATTGAAGACATCTGTCCGATAGCTATGCAGAGCGGCAGTAGTTAAGTCCACATCTAGGGAGTGGTCTGCCTCGTAGGTTGCTGTAAGTCTTTAGTCCGCGGAGCTGCACAACATAGAGTGCACGTCTAGGTTAGAACTAGGAGACTGATCAATCAGTTCATTAGTCATACACAGATGTGAATGGGTCTGCCGAGTAAGCAGAAACGATGTCTGAGGACGCGGAGATTTTTCGTCAATTCAGCAATCATTCTGGCAAAAATATTCGCAGAAAACAATACGATGCGAACTAAACTGGACACCAAATTAAATGATCGATATGCCTGATAGGTAGACCCTATTTTTCGATTTACTTTTGTAAAATTCGAATTTCCAGATTTTCGCACCCAAAAAAGACTCATACCACACCACCGGCCATACTTGATCCCCATTAGTCCATTTTTCCGTGACTCACTACTTTCGGATTATTTTCCAAGGTAATTGATGGGCGGTTCCCGAACTGTATATAAACAAATGAGCCGTCCGCTTTCGCCTTTTACGGTCGAGTGAAATATACAACCTCGCCCGTCTTCCTTGTTCTCTCCGGTCGTGTTTGGGGATAGTACTGCTTCGTGGGGCGTTTTCCCTCCGGTTCTATTAGGACTTGCGTGGCGTACCGCAGTCGGGCGCACTAGGGTACCGTCACTATTCCGCTTGGTCGAACGCTTCTGTTCGTGGGTCACTGCTGCCGCACGTATCGTTGGTCACGGTTTGTGCTAGTTCAGTCGTATCGTCCACTTGCAACGTTACAACAATGCCTGAGAGGCAAACACTCCGTTATGAAAGAGCAAGCAATAGATGATAGAAGGAAAAGGTCAATTGGTACTGAAGGTGGTAATTTCCACCAGCCTTTGAATGAATACACCCATGAAGCCGACTGTTCCTCGTGTCCCAGAGAATTGAAAGTTATCTCATTGAAACTCAGCATGCTTTTTATTGACAGGAGCCTGTATTAGGCAAGTATGATGGCTGCTTGGAATTTTTTAGGTTTGCTACGCTCCAGCAGATGCATCGTCTACTAAATGATTTCGTGGGTAATGCCGAACAGAACATCTAGTCAGGTTACTCTAAAACTAAAGCACACCACAACAGGTTAACATTTTTGGGTACCATTTCATGCATCACAGAAAAGATCAATGATCCTTGGTTTTCCCATTCTATTGCACGAAGGCATAACAAATCGTCATCCACAAACAGTTATTAGGGTTGAAACACTTAACTGACACAGAGATCCAGGCACAGAAATGATCTTGGAAGAAAAAAGTTGATAGACGAACGAGAGACCGGAGCGGGATATAGAAAGAAATGATTTGCGGTTAGAATAATTAACAGTTCATCCCGGATGAATTTTGAGCACAAACAAATTGGCAGGCGGATGTGCTTCGAAAGGAAATAGTTCAGCGTGAGAAGTGCATATCTATACACAAACAGACTTTGTCAACACGAAACGGTTGGAGGCGGAGGACGAGGAACGGAGATTAGAAAGACAAGGTGAAAATAGCTGGCTGGAACCTGAGCACATACACACTGTGGCATCAGAGGTCCGGGAAACTGATCTGTTCAAGTCGAGGTGAGGTGAGACCCCCTAATTATGTCCGTGTCCTGGAGAATCCTGATCCTGAAAAATAGAGGTGGAATGCACTTTTATGACAGACAACCGGCAGCAGCGGCCACTTTGCTCGGATTGAACAGTTCTTCGCCCAAGGCGTGTAGGATTTCCTTTCGGTAATCATCAAAGTCGCCATCGATTTCGTTAATTGTACAATCTTCAATGACCCAGAGAGTGCAGTTTGTGTCACGGATGAGGCGTTCATCGTGACTCACAATCACGACACCTATTATGGATAATAGAAATGAGGAGAATTACACATCGAGGAAAATGAATAGTAGTAGGCATAGTTAAACATGACACTGACACGTCAAAGCAGGGCAGTTTCTCATCTTCGCGTGATTTGTGTCAATCAGGGTTGAATATGCAAAACCCAAGGAAAGGGGAATCTTATAAACACAATGACGAGAAATACGCAGGTGCTGAAACGCAAAAGCTGCTCCCTTAAACAGATAAAGTTCAGTACTTGGGTTTTCGTGAAGTAGCAGCACAGTTAAACAGAGTATGAAACTCGTCACGAAAATGCTCTGGTAGCATATGCTTAATCTCAGCTAGCATAGATGGTCAAGCCATAGAATTCGTTGTAGTAGTTGCGGTACACAGAGATCGGCTACATTCCAAACCGGGACAAAATTCGCAAGTTGCACAAAACAAGCACATAAGTTGTGTCAAGAAGACGGGGATTTGATGAGTGATACGAGAACCGCGAGTGCCTCGTGAATTTAGCTGGAAAAAAAACTAGCTAACCGCTAATCAGTACTGCTACTGTCACTCTCAAAGAGACGTTATTGCAAATAATCTTCAAACACAGCAAAGTGACAAAAGATTGTAACATCGGAATAACCGTTCGTTAACTTGAGTAACTAAAATCCTGCGGTAAGGAGCGACTAACCAGGGATATAATCACTAAAACAGGTATTGGACAGAGGGATCATAAGTTACTTTCATTTCATTTTTTTCACATCACGCTTGCAGTAAGTTTAGCTTCTCAACGATTAGGGACAGATGATTCCTTATTTGAACAAGAATTCGCCAATGGGTACGGTTTTTCGATAGAAAAACGGAACCGCATCCAATAGTTTTCGTTTTTAGCCCAGCAAAGCGTAATCAAACCGTGTAGAACTAATCACGAGCGGTCTACCGCATCTGAGATCAGTTAGGTGGTTCACGGAATCCACGGAGCAGACAGGTCCCCCACGTAAGATCTATCTGCTGAAAATCCAGATAAGCTGTGCAAAACATAAAACTAGAATCAAGCTTTGGAAAGAAATATTTTCGATAGAACTGCACAAGCTGGATATGGAAACACGGTTATGCTTCTTTATGCAATACCTGGTATGAATGGAAAAATCGCCCTCTGCCATCGGGAAACAAGGATTGTTTCTACAAATTTCTCAAAGAGGCAGTCAGACGCAGTGCGAAAAATGCACAGGTGTTCACTTAATTTATGTGATCACTTTGATTCTGGAAGAAAGAGTCTATGCTAAGGGAGTTTTCGTGGAGTTAGTAACACGAACTTTCATACGTAAGTTTATAAAGTAGCTACTCAAATTTTTATGGAATATATAGGTCAAACGATGGTGCAACAGAAAAAAATGCAAAGGTGTGGGAGTCATTTTAGTCCAGGAGAGCTGGTTAGACCCAGATATTGACGATGATGTGGTCAGATTGGACGGCTTTGATATTTTCAGGAGTGATCGGATTGTGAAATTTCGCAAAGGTGGCGGAGTGGTTACTTTCGTAAATCGAAGTTGGTGTAAGAACACTCGTTTGGTTTTTTCCTACTCAACAAGTAGAATAAATTGTACTTTTGTTTGTTGCCAGTACCGCTTTCTCAGCAGATTTCGCTTCATTTACTTTGTGAATATTTACATTGCCCCTGATACACTCGCCCCGACTTAAGACGATTTTATGATACTGTAGTAACACAATTCGCCAGTTGTATTGACCAGTCCTTGTGTATTACCGCTAGTAACTTAAATCGCTTTGATACCTTCTTTCTAACCACTCTAGGCTTAAGAGAACCTTGTCAATTTTCCAACCCGTACCAATGCTTCTCTTGATGGCATTTTTGTAAATAATCTCAATAGGTTCCCCGTTTTTAAACGAGCCCCAATTAGCACTTCTGATCACTGTACCATTCTTCTTTACCCCAAAATATATTGTAAAACTAACCACTGCCTTCATACACGACCCACCTCTCAGAAAAAAAATTGTTCTCCTGAGAATTTGTCCCTACTGCGGGAATCATTTTCTTCTACTGACTTTTCTGTGTTCTTCTATAACCAGCTGTCTTCTTCTTGCGAACATCTCACCGATTACCTTAATTTCTGCTATGATCAATGCTGCCCTGTTGAAACTATTTATATTCGTACTGATAGGTTTTCCTCACCCCTTCTTAATCGACTTCGTCGTGCTAAAGAGACGGCATATATGGCCGGCAGCCGTGACAGTGTCAAAGAGCTCTCTGTTATGATTAGAGCAGAAGTAAGACGCCTGAACGGAATGTACGTCGAGAATGTTTTGGGTAATAAAAGCTTTCGTGAGATGTGGACTACCTTGCGGAAACTCTGTGGCTCAGGCATCAGTTCTTGTCCCAACGTTGAGGTACCTAACCGTCAATTTGTTTCTGTACCTGTATCTAGTTCCCTCCCACCTTTTCCTACTCATGATGCAATCCTGTTTCTCCGGACGAGGTCCTCCAAGTTTTGAGGAGACTCGAGACCAACAAAGCTCATGGTCCCGATGGATTAGCACCTCATTTGCTGAAAGCCTACGCCGACCAGCTTGCGACACCCATTGCCGAATTGTTTAGTACTTGTTTTTCATCTGGAACGACTCCCGATTGTTGGAGGTCAGTCCGGATAAGACCAATCTCAAAGAAAGGATGGTCAAAGTACCGTCCTATTGCCTGCACATCTGTGCTGCTGAAGGCTTTTGAAAATGTTTTGCTGCACCGCAGAATACCCCAGTGTAACTCCCATGATCCTTTACAATTTGCTTATAAACCCCATTTATCCACACTTGAATCCGTTGCCTATATTGTTCATTCTGTTGCTTCCGTCTTAGACAATGGCGCTGGTACCACTCGTTTAACTTTTCTTGACTATACAAACGCTTATGGTTCTCTCGACCGAAGAATGCTGATTGAACGTCTTTCTGAGTGTGGTCTAAATCTGGAATGCACTAATCGACTACTTCTCCCGTAGGACCCAGTCTATTTCACTCAATGGTGTACAGTTTTCTTCTATTAACGTTGAATCCGGTGTTTTTCAGGGTGCCATTTTGTCCCCTTTCTTGTTTTCTATGTATATACAAAATCTGCCCGTTCCCACCAACGTTATCGCTTGTAAGTATGCTGATGATATTGTGATTGGTTGCCCAGCCCCTATATCAGACAGTTTTCGACCTCTCCAGGACAGTCTTAATGAACTTCACGACTGGTCTGTGACCCGATCCCTTGTACCTAACATCAGTAGATGCATTGAAGTTCCATTTAGTCTTAAAACCAGTCCCCGTTATCTTTCATCAGTTAATAATCTCCCTGATCTTAGAATTAACAATCAAAGTATTCCAAAATCTGTATCTGTTAAATACCTTAGTGGCACCCTTACCCATAACCTGTCTTGGTCCGCTCATGTCATCAACATTCTCACAAAAGTTCGAAAACTGTCTTTCTATGCTTACAGGCTCAGAAAACTGGCCGTACCACATAATCTTATTCTTAAATTCGTGATTTCTTGCATTCTTCAACACTGGCTATACTGCCCCCAGATTTTCATCCCTGGACTGAAAGAAAAAGACCTCTTTATTTTCGAGATCCCTCAAACTTTTGTCCCGTTACAGTGGAGTTGATAGAGTTGTTTTAGTTGATTTCTTTATTTCCAAGCAGCTTGACGCTTGTGATACACTCATTGACAGCGTAACACGTGATTAAGGGCACTGTCTGCACCAAGATATCGCGAAAGCCCTGTCAAATCCCCGAACGCGTTCCAAATATCAACTGCTTCCTACGCGGACTTACACATATCCCTATCTAGCTCGTTTACTAGTAAATCGTCAGAATATTCTCACCCACCTCAGGGAAAAACGCTTGCCCTAATTTTTCGCTCATTTATTGAAGTGTAGAATTTCTTATATTGTCTTTTTAGTTTGCAATTGTTTTACCTATTCATTGTAAAAATCGTAAACTGCTGAAAATTCACCCTTTGGGTGCATAAAGCTTTTCTTGGCTTGACTTGACTATAACTTCTGATTGTCTGGCCTTGCTTGTAAAACGCTGATTGATATTCGATGAGCGGCGTAAACAGGGGGTATCTGGGATTATTCGGAATTGAGAAGATGAACTAGACAGATGGGAAAGATGGTTGTCCAAATGGATACCTAAGACTTTAGGGCACGACATACTTCGCGGCAGCCCACACCGACGAAGCGGTTTTCTTTGGGAACCCTAACCAGAGCCTTCGACTCAAAAGTCTGACCCACAAGGCGTAAATCCAACGCGGGAGCGTGAACGACGCACCAGTGTGGGAGCTTCTGGAGACCTGTCACGCAAGGCTTTTTAATTTTGGTTAAGTTTGTTATTCGCTGGTGCATTGATTATCGGTCCGCTTTTCGGGATCAGCGCTTAGCCTCATGCACCCAATGAGACAAGCGGAACGTGGACGGGACAGCACCTTATTGGTTGGCGGGCGGTAGCTGTCCAATGAAGTGCGAAGACTTCTCCTACCGTCGAGAGGAAGCCCCAGGTACCCCGCTCCTACGACCATTTAGCATGGTGTTTTTGAACGATAAACTACCCCTCACCGTGTTTGTTTGCTGGAGTGGCCTCTTCAGGGGCGGGTGTGGATAGAAATGTAAGCCACGAGGTGCCCAAGCAGCTGGCTTTGTGAGACTGAGCTTTGTCTGGCCTCTACCCGTTGACCTTTCAGGGATGATTGGATCTACAGGCTCTGAAAAGCCATCCTGTATAGCTCGCAGGGTCATGGAGGCATGCAAGCCATCACACCACGCCAAGGTGCAACCTCGTCGTGATGGGTCAACCAAACAAGCAGTGCCAAGGTTCAGCGCCGAGTTGTAGATAACAGCGGTCGTCCATTGGAACAAGTATTCGACCTCCATACATTACACCGACTGGGGCATGTGTTAACATTTCATTAAATGGGTTGCACCTTCATGTAATGTTCACTGAGGCAGGTAATGAATGGAAGATAGTTAAGAGTGATCAAAATAAGATCTGGTATGCCGGTATGAAAATCCTGACAAGGAATGTTGGTCACAAAGATCATGTTAGACTTCCTGAATGTGGACCTCGGGTCTTTGTAATCGATGGTTAGGCATAGTGAGTGACAGTGCCACGCGTGCATCTATTCAATATTCTTACAATCTTTATCCACTGGAGTTCTCTGTTTTCATCTAGTTACTGCTTTCAACTTTCCAATCTTCCCCCTAGTCCTGCATCCAAATGAGTAACCAAAACCACCGCACGAAAATGCAAAGTTGTACAATTCGAAAATTGCAACCTAAGCGGTCAAGGAGCATTGACAACTCACCTCCTTCATATTCATTGATAGCTACAGCCAACGCATCTATGGATTCGATATCCAGGTTGTTTGTCGGTTCGTCCAGGATAAGAATGTCTGGAGCACGTCGAGACAGTTCTGCAAAAGCCACACGAGCTCGTTGACCACCCGAAAGATCAGCATTCGGAATAGTATGGGCATGGGACTCCAACCCGAATTTTCCTAATGTACCTCGAGCGTCCTAGGTGAAGAAATAAAAATAGAAGTGGAAAAATGGATGAAAAACATCGATGGCGGAGGAGGTCGAAAGCATGAAAGTGTAAAGCAATATCAGTAACTCTGAGACAGCAATACCAAATTATAGATAACTAATATTAATAAAACGTGGAACCCCTTTTATCCCAAAGGGAAGGACTTTCTGAATTCATGTCTAACACCCAATCGACAATTGGGAGCTATCCAGACGACAAGATTGACTGATCTTATAGACATATTTATCAACGGCTTGCGAAGAGGTTCGGTACCAAAGCAACAAAAACAATAACGGAGAACGAAGGGGTCGGAATACTAAACAGACTGAAATGGGGATCAAGCAGTTACAGTGGATAACAAATATAATAGTTTTTTGTTTGTTTCACCGCGCACCTTAGATATTTTTTATTAGTTTATTGTTTTTATTTATGGGGCATGGACTTTTAACATTCAGACCGTACAGCATTCGCGCCACTGACTTCTATTCCGGGCCATATCTCTTAGCGTCTCTAACCAACAATAATCCTCATTCCTTGGACCCAAACCTGGAGGACAGGCTGCATCAACTAAAGACAAAGATAAAGCTAAACTCGTCATATATCTCTACATCATGTCATGGTCTGACCACCGCGGCGCTTCTTCCANGAGAGCACGGAAAGGCAGACGATGGGCAGACAGATGCAAAACGTGACCAAGCCATAGGAGGCGGTGTAGAGCGATTACTTCTTTCACAGTACCATTATCCACACTCAACATACCACGATGAACCTCGTCATAGCTCATCTGACATTCATATCAGACACGAGCAATGCTTCGTAAATGATTCAGTACATTCAAAAAGTATACATTCAGCAGAATATGGATGCGTTTGTGTAATGGAACGGGAGTGACAAAAACACTGAGTGATTTTACCAGGAGCATTAGTTGAGATTAGTTTTCATAAGTTCTCGTGTTTGTATAGGATTGTTCAATTCCATGCCAACCTCAGATGCTGCCAGTAAAGTAAAACAGGACAACCGGAATTTACGTTCACCAGACTCTGGAAACCGAACAGCGCACCAAACGACGTGCAAATAAGATCCAGTTGGCATTGCACGCTACTTACACCATAATATATTGAGAACTGGAAATCAGCACTGCCGCGACCGTTGCGAGTTTGTTCTCCGAATGCTTACATCATACCGGAGTTCACTCAGGCAATAAGAGTAGTGAGCAATTTAAACTTTACATCAGGATTAGCCTCAGATATGAGAATACAATAGTAATATTTTGATACTCCATTCATCTGCCGCACAACAAACGTATATTCAGTATTTAGGAGGGGAGTACTGATAAAGGAAGGCCACTAAGTAATGGCCAAAGTGACAGGGTATCGTTTGACTACTGAGGTAAACAAAAGTAGCACAACTCTGGGCGAGACAAAAAATTACAACCAGCAACAGTGGCGTCAGTATAATTGAAAATGATCATAAAACTGGGATAATGATCGGATCAAAATGAGGACAACAACAAAGAAATAAGAGGAGTGCATGCGACATGGTTTTGGGAAGAGCAAGACCGTGGTACAGTAAACAGCAATATAGAGGTTTCCATGTGTCATTGGTTTATTGATCTAATGAATGAAAGAACCAAATGCAAACGGATGTGGCTTACTTGATAGGACAGATTGAACAGTTTCTGAAGATATTCTGTCGGAGTCAACGATAGGTCCAATTGATCGGCAGAATGCTGATCGTATTTTCCGATTTTAACTCGATGACTTATCCGACGTTCGCCTTCGGTCTATCGGAAAATGAATCACAAAAAGCGACTCGTAGAATGACAGAAAAATGGCCTCAAACCATTTTAGTAAATTAAACATCTCGTGGATTCAAGTAAGCTTGGGAGTCTGATGTACACCACGTTGATTTCTCCACCGCACTTTGTCCTTAGTGTAAGAGTCTAGTCGAATGAGTTCAGAATATTACTTTTGTGAATTTAATGTAATTAACAACAGGAGTTTATAAGAATTTAACCACAAGACTGAGACAGGAAGAGCCATCATTGAGACGAACTAAAAGTTAATTGTGATGTAAACTTGGTATTTCTGTCTATAGTAATTTCAGTGTTTTTAGCTGCTTTAGAAGAGTTGAAACAGGCAATAACGAGAACAAGCTACTTGACCATCAGGGTTGATACCATTGGTTCTGGGGTATGGAGTATTAAAACAAACAAAAAAAGAAGCTGCCTGACCAAATGGTTCCAACCATAAAGCCAGATGCTGTTAGAACAACACAGAATAAATCCAGGATCCGGAAGACGGATGTAAACTGAGGAATTAGTAGACGCAATGTAACTGAGCATATGTTCCCTGATAAATACCAGTGAAAGACAGCGTTATTTTGGTTCAGTGCAACATTACAACTAACAATTGGAGAGAGGGTCTTTATGAAGTTCTCTAAAATAATACTTCGAAACTGTAAGAACTACTCATTCTTCCATGTGCCAGACTATGACTTGCGATGCCAGAGGTACACTGATGACCATTTTTCTGGGGTTTAGCAAAACCGCACGAAAACCTTGAGTAAACTCTAAAGGAATGTAACCTGGTGGCCAAAAGGCACACCTTCCCTTAAAATCTGATCCTAAGGTACTACATCATCAGTTCGTGGTATGCCAATATAGCTCAATCCTGATATATCCTTACTAGATACAACCCACCGTTGCATGAGTAAAAACCACGAGGTTTCTTGCGAAGAACAGACAAAAGTGCATAATGTAGTTCTACGGCCGACAGCTTTATCTATTCTGCTGAGTTCACGTGATGCTCACAAACGTGAAGATTGTCTGGTCCTGTTCAGCAGCTGTGCTCTGTAATTTATCGCGCTACCGGATCTCCGCCCACATTGTCTTGATTTAACGAGCATGGAGTCCTATCCTGTTGTCTTATTCCCCGGATGTCACCGGAAGTTGCGTCTGAATTGGTCAATGGGGTGTGTGAGTGGAGGAACGAAGAAAATGCCGGCGGTATTCGGTATTCAAACACGACCATCAAAGACATATTTGGAAACACATGCCTGAAACTGATAACAAAAGTGATATGCAGGCACCAACAATGAAGCATAATGGGGTTTCATCGCATGTTTGGTGGGAGATTGAGACCAAGCTGATCAAGTTTACCTAGGAGACTTGAGCCGACACTCTTGAGCACGACTACTAAAGCGAACTTCCAGGGTGACACCGAGTTTGCTTGTCATACGTGAGTCTCAGGTGTGTCAAGTGGAAACAACAATTTTGAGGGTACAGAGATTACCGAATCTCAATTCAATAGCAAATTTGTGGGATCAACTTGGTTGGTTGGAAAGTGGATTACAGGCGATATTACAACTCTTTCGAGGAGGACGGGATGAAGACAGTCTTGAAAGAAAAACGCAGCTATATACCACGATATAATACAGCATGACTGATAGTGAGCATTATTTGACGAGTAAGTGCTTTTGCATGATCGACATTAGTGAGTGGGAGTCTCTCGGCGAGCACTATGAGATTTTATTAAAAGTACCTACGTAATAACAAGTAAAATAGTTTCCTAAAGCAGAATCAGTATAATAATAACTAATTATATATGCATATATCACGGGAATAACGATTATAGCGTTACCGAAACACTTTTCAGCTTTATTTTTTGGAACAAAATTTTATTCTCGAGCAAGAACGGCTTCAACGTTTAGTGATATAAAAAGAAAAACAGGGTTGTGTATGTGTACGAACATACCGGAGTGATTTCACCAGTAAGCAGTTTGAGGAACGTGGATTTGCCGACTCCATTGGGACCGACAATTGAGACCCGGGAAGACATATCTACACCGAAATTCAGGTCACGGAACAGTGGTTTCTGATTCGAGTAGGCGAAAGTGACACTATGAAGTCCGAGTAACGGCGGATTGAGTGGAGGTGGATTTGGGAAGTGAAACTGTGCAATGAGGGAGTATTTGAAAAGAAGTACACATGGTAAGATGATGATTGGCATATATAAACAGCAGTTAATGTAATCATTATAGCAAGGTGCTTAGCGTTATCCCAAAAGACTCGTGGTTGGGGTGTTGAAGCAAAAACCCCTCGTAGCCTGGTTCGAATCCAGGTGGATTTGATGGACACGTACTACGAATGATCCCTAACCAGGATGAAACAGCAATAAAAACAAAAAACATACTAGATTAATGAGAGAAGAGAATGTCGTGGATACTAGTGAGTACAAACATCGACCCGAAGTCAGTTCGATGAGGAAAACAAATCAAGATAAGCTGCGAATGAACAGCAACAAAGCACGCATTTCCAAGTGAGACAATTTTAGAACACAGTTAAAAGATTACAAGTACCTCACCTTGACAATGTATTCCTTCGGCTTTGTGAGCAGTTGCGGTGTTGGTGCAGACTGGTCATCGGATTTGGCTAGCATCTGCTTCCCTTTAGCTTGTTTACGTGTGGCCACTTCACGCTTATTTTTCTCCACAGCCTTTTTCGAACTCATACCTTGTTGTTTTAACTCGCGTAGTCGCTTCTCTTGTTTTTCGTACTCTTTCCATTGTTCTTTACGCCGTTGATTCAGCATAATTTTGAAACTGTCTGTGCAGATGAAGTGCGAACAAGGCGGAGGTGAAACAATTCACCACCACCAATGAGCAACAGATCACACAATTCGAATAACTAGAAAGTTATTTTCTAAGGCCAAAATGAAACGAACGATTCTAGCATCGGCAATAGGGCGAGTACAATTCATATTTTATGACTAAAACCATTGATAATCATAAATAAAAATCAGACAAAACAAAAGTTCGTTGTTCTACTAAAACCCAGTTCATCCGTCGACGCATGCTTATGCTATGGTCATTAGTTGGTTGGATATGCATACCAATGGACCAATGGGAGAGTTCTAGGTCATCAATGCTTTCGCATACTGTCATATATGAAGCGCTATGCTTCGATGAATTCGTGGATTAACTTTGTAGTTACTCTTCTGATTATTTTTGTCGTTCCCAGTTGGAAGATGTGATTTTTAACGTCCACGAGAAGTGAAATTTCAGATTTCTCGTCGTGTCACTTGACTGCCAATGTATATTTGTGGCTTCAATTTCCGACCGCTTTGTTCGACGGCATTTCTAGCAGTTTCGGGACTTGAGCTTGTATACCACACTTGAGGGATCTCCTTATGGCAGTTGATTTTTACTGTCACCGTTGTCTTGTGCGCAACAAAAATTTCTGACGGTTTTAATAATCTGGTAGCCACTTCAGAGACCCGTTCGACATACGATAATGCTGTCCTGTTTATCGTCGACCGGTTCTTCGTCCCCCTCATCGATCCGATTGTTGTGCCCTCCTTATGCGTAGCATGTAGACAGTGCGGGACGACAGTTCGTGGGTATACGTTCCATCGAAGCACTTTAAATAGGTGGGCATCCTCTGACTGAAGGAAGAGTGTATATTGGTTTTAGGTTTCATTTCTGGTGTGCCACTGAATGGTTGCTTTGAAAGTTCTTAATCTGATGTGTATGTTGGTTTTCAGTGGACGCCGGTTCCTAATTACCGATGTTCGGCTCATTTTCCCAGCATATCAAGGAAAGGTAGGTGAATGTTCCGTTCTTCCGAGGGGAATTTGATTCCAGTGAACGCGTTGTTGACCGAATCGTGTGTCCCTTCGAGTTAGACAGGTTTTTGAATGATAAAGGTATCATCAACTAATTTTAGTCACAATTTCGTTTTGAAGATTGCAATTGCAATGGTCTCCGACCTTTACATGACTGATTCTGCAATGGGTCTCCAAATCGATCGCCGAATAGGAACACCCCAGGTGTGCTAGCTTGACAACATGCTGGCACAGATTCAAGACGAGTAGGAGGTCCGAAACCGGTTACGACTACGTTCAGCATTGATCCAAGACAGCAAATTGACCAATGGACAATCAAGACTTGAAACACAATCAGATAAACACAAACAGACGGAATCGGTGAATGGGATCGAAGGGACGCAAGCCAAAAACCGAAACCTTGAAACAAAGTTATATAAAGTCGGTATCACTGGTGTTTCCCTGAAGTTGCAGGACAGTGTTCAAACGATGCATTTGTGGAAATCGATGGACTGCAAATGGGAAACCAACGGTGTACGAACGGAGCATGACGTATTATAACCGAACAAGATGTTACAGTATGGAAGTTTAAACAAAAAAAACGGGGAAAAAAGCGAACAACTCTGTTGAGAACAAAGCAAAACATCCACTTATGCGTGGCCAGTGGAACCGGTAAACCACTCACTGTAATTTCCACGATAGTAGAACAGCTGGCACTGATCCAGATGGATAATATCTGTGCATACATTATCCAAAAACGACTGGTCGTGCGAGACGATAAGCAATGTTTTCTTCCATCCCTGAAGATAACTGTAATGATACGTAATCAACAGAAAATGCGATATGAATAAAAATAAATCATAATAAATGATATTATTGGGGATATTCAACAAATTATAAAACGATCTTGTTAGGACAAATACAAATCAAAGAGGTCACGAAAAATCCTGGGGATGCATTTTCCTTCGGCTGGTCTCCCTATTCTCCACTAGGTAGCTACCGTGGTCGTAACTGAAAGGTTGACTGTAACAGAAACTACCCAGCTCGGAAAACCGAATTTCTGCACCGTATCAACAGATATCTGAGCAAAAGCGTGAAAAGTGCATTACTGATCAGATATCCAAAGTGCTTTTTATAGATCAAAAGAGACATCAATCGCTATATCACGTATCGAAAGTGAAAAACCTCCGAGTTTCCAGACAGATTCACTGCCAGCTGTCTCAATATTACGTGTTTCTCATTGAGACTTAATGTGGTCTACAGCCTCAACGACTTAAGTTGCCGTCGGATCCTCGAAAATATGGGACTTACTCATTACACTGCTTATAACGCTGGGATGTGTTGTAATAAACTAAGGTATGACGTTCGTTTCGATGTTAGAAATCATTAGAAAACGATAGTAAATCCCAAATCCTAATAAGATCTTTTAGTAGGCATTACTATGTGATGAACAGCAGAGGGAGTAGAACCCATAATCACNTAAGCCCTCGGGCTTTGATCGACGAGCTAAATAAGACCCCAATAGAACAGATGAAATGCTGAACCGGGCGACAGCGATGCTGTATATGTAATTGCGAACCGAACTAACATCAATTATTTAAAGGATCACCACAAGTTTTCGATAGGACCGGTAAGTCGATAGTGCATGGCTAATAATCGTTTTTGACAACTTCTGATTGATAAGAATTTGTCTCCGTGAAAATGAATGCAAACCTACAAAACTAATTAGGCATATGAAATGAAAATTATCGTTTAACCCTATTCATCAATCTATTTGACCACATAGTTCAAGATTGATGTATGAGGGATAGAGTACAAAGCGGCTCGGTCATGAAGTATATCGTACTTGTCCAACCAGATCACCGCGTTCAAATCCAAGTGGTTCGTCGGTTCGTCCAAAAGCAAAAATGTGGGCTCAAGAAACAGGGCGCGGGCCAGGCTAACACGCATACGCCAACCACCTGATAGATCTTTAGTAGGTCGTTCCATCATTTTTGGTGTGAATCCGAGACCAGAAAGAATGCGTTTAGCCTTCCCCTCAGCGGCATCCGCCTTCATAGCGTTCAACTCTTCGAAAACCTGAATGAATGGGGTGGGAAAACCATAATAATGAGAAGTTGCTTTGAAGGTAAAAGTCAGATAGAACGAGAAGACGGTATTTTAACATATATCTGAAATGCAAAACAGATCGGGAACAAACGCTTCTACACTTTGGTCGCATTATTTGCCCCGGTCATACGGTTTTGATTACTATCGCATTACTCCAGAGGTCGTATGTTCAAACACCACCTAGCCACCTAACTTCCATTGTTTCTTTGTATCACACGAAAGTCCGCTCTTCTTTTCCTGTAAATTGTATGCACCATTCAGTTCAGTTCAATTCTTACAACCATTGACCATGCACTTTCGTGCGCCGGTTTTGGTTGCCTATTTGGATAAAACAGAATAATGATTAAAATGTCGACAGCAGATTCAAGTGGAAGATAGCACATTTTCATAGACTGAGGTTACAAGAATAATATATAGATGCATGGGCGCCACTGTTTGCGACACCAAGCCATATCGCTCAGTGTCTCTAACCACCGGTGACCATGATCTCTGGGTCCCCAGCCAGGGAGCCTAACGGGACCTACGTGAGCCAGTCTTCTGGTCAGGGTTTTTAAACCCTCATGCCAGGTCTTAGTCTGACGGCCCTTCATTTCTTTCCAACCGTTACCTGTCTCGCCAAGCATCGCTCGCCGTGGCAACCTATTTGGTGACATTCGTAGTACATGTCCCAACCAGCGTAATCTATGGAGGTCGACTACCTGTTCCAGTGGACGACCGCGATTACCTAAAGCTCTACGCCTAACCTCAGCATTACTCATCCGGTTTCCCCACCAGACTCGTGCAATGCTACGTAGACAGCGGTGTTCGAACACCGACAGTTTATTTTTATCCTGTTCCCGTAATGGCCATGTCTCTGCGCCGTAAAGCAGAACTGGCCGAACTGCTGCAGCATATACTCGACCCTTCACAGACAACCGGGTATCGCGACAGTGCCACAGATGTCTCAAGTTGGTAAGTGCCAACCGAGCTTTCTGTATGCGCGCCGACACTTCATCTGTGATGCGCCCGCCCAGGTAGAAAAACTTGTCTACTTTCTCTACAATTTCCCCGGTCAGGGCGAGACTGGACCAACCCAATCTTGGAGCAGCATTTTACACTTTGAAGGTGCAAAGCGCATGCTGAACATCGCTACACTAGTACTCAAACTATCCAGAAAAGCTTGCAATTTACCTGAATCTTCTCTTAGTAGCACAATGTCGTCTGCATACTCTAGATCAGATGCACCATTATGTATTCAATAAAAGTAGGTAAATAATAAGAGAAAAGGAAGAGCATCAATATGTGCTGAGAGCTTCGGCCAACAGGATTTCCTCTCATTGGCTATGTTTTGATCTTTAGTGATAACAGTTTATTGTGATTAAACACGAATCGAGACGCCTAAAAAGGAAGAAATAACCATGATACAGAACCAGATACTAGTGACTTTTCATTTTTCAAACTTTCTATTAGTTTCTTTGCAGGGTTAAGTAGCAACGTCAGTCAAACTCTCATAGAAGTGTCATCTTCCAGTGTACATTTACAAATTTTAATTTGCCCGGTAGACAGATCAGTCGATTGACAGCCACCAATATTAGATAGAGTATGTAGACGCCACCTTGCAGGCAAACTCGAAGACCATTACTGCGATTGCATGGTCGTCGTCATTAGTAGTGTTTGTCGAGAGGGTTTCCTTTCTTGTGGTTTATAGACAGCTTCTATGCCAACCAGTTTATTATTTGATCCACTGATAGAAAACCAAGCTTCCAGGAACTATGAATAAAAACCCAAGACCGTTGGTTTACACCACGTATCCGGAGTTATTTAACTGTATCTGTACATGTTCCTACTTGAGTCAACGTAATCGTTTATTGAAGCAGAAAAACACACAGATGAACCGAAGAAAAAAATGTATGTATTTACAGTCACAATGGATATATACTGTCCACCAAGGTAAAGATGGATACGCCAGCGATACTCGCCAGTTACACAGTCGGCGGTGGTGTTTGAGCATATACAAAACTTCATCGCATCTGAGTAATTTGGTACAGGTGAATGTAGGCGACGTGCCCTTACATAAACGATTGCCTCCACCGAAGTATGCACGCGTACAGATGCACCGAAATGCCGCCGGATAAATTGTGCAAACCAATGGCCTTGGTTTCGTTATACAATTGTGACGGGAACATGCTGTTTTCAAATCCAGGAAGTCTCCGACGTGAATAATAACCGCCTGTCATGTAATCTCGATAGATTCCCAGTTGAAGCGATTTTCCCCATCGAAGAGAGTGATTTCTGTTCACAGCGATTTGCAGCGAGTATGCGATCGTGGATTCACGTGTTTGAATGGAAAATCCCTGAAACCTGTTGCAGGGGGTTTTGTCACATAAAATTTGATCCCGTATAAAGGCCAAAAGGATGCATACAGCTGAATTCAGCCACGATGCTTGTTATTGATCTTATGAAAATATTGAAGGGAACAGTTTGCATAAAATTAGATCCCTCATTCTTTTGTGATTTTTTCTTTGTACGTCGGAGTGCCGTTGTTGGATTTCGTAGGATAGGAATTTCATGTGATTGTAGCATTCATACATTCACTTCCAATTCTACTCTAGTATCTAGATAGAATGGATATGTCGTTGGATTGGGGACTTTAAACGGTGAAGCATAGCATAGTTTTTAGGACAGCCAATCAGCAGTAGTAGGTAGAGGAAATACATTAGTTCTACCCTCTGCGATGAAGTGATGTTGCAGTGTGCACCGATTCCCTGAAGAGAGTAGGTAAACAGTTTTTTCTTGTGGGAAATAGGGCGATCAATGGTGAAGCTGAGAATCTAGATGTACTTTTGAAATACATATTTATAATCCAATATTCGACCATATGACATTGAGACCCAAAAGCTATTAGTTAATCTTTTCCCTAAAAAAGATCATTACCTCAGTATTCTTTTTGCAACCAATCTGTGAAAATGGGTATAGACAGGAGTTTCGGGCCATCGCACAGACAAATTCTCAAACGGCCGAAGTCGAATTCTCAGTTACACTAATGCCGAAACAATCAGTAGATAAAAATTACCCATCATTAACGTAGGTTGAACCCAGATCTGGTGCACAAACGTATACGCACACAGTCTCGCTCCGATCCGGGTACGCGTGTGAACTTATGCACTGAATATCTATTTTGCAATTCAAGTTTCCCAAGTATCAAAACAAGATGTCGGTGTATTATTTCAATTTGCCTCAGGATCCCGTTGATCCCATCAGTGCTGCCAGGCCCACGTTCTGCTCAAAGTTCATAAGGATATCTGGATGACCACAATGCAGTACAGATTTCAAGCTTTTTTATAACATGCCTTGGTGTGAGGAACAGCAAATCGGGCTTTCCTCGTTTACGCAGAAATGTAAGCTAATGATATGTAATTTTTAACTACTGTTGGTGTCTGTCGTAGTGGAACTGAGAATTCAACCAGGGCAGTTTGAGAATCTGCCTAGGCGATGGGCCAGAACTCCTGACACTGTTGAGAATATGCGAGCTTTTGATGATAAAAAGATGTGTCGACGCGTATCCCCAGATCTTATACAACCAGGCGTCTTAAACTGGCTCTGCTGAGGAAGTCCGTGGCGGTGTTGTCCGACCAAAATAAGAGGACGAAGAACCAGAATCGAGGTGAACCATTGATAGTTCACCTAAGGGAGTTGGCTAAAACCCCTGATCCCAAACCAAACAAACCACACACACACTTTCCTGGTTGTAACAGCAATCATCCGTTTGATTGGACCTAGGGGTATGTTGGGTATCTTGGGAATTTGACCCGTCCAAAAGGAGTTGATCGGATGAACTGGGCACCCGTTCCAAATGGATTGCGGTTTTCACATATCGCCCCGCTGCCTTGCGAGTTAGACTTTTGCTAGCCGGAGGCTCTGATTGTGAATCCTTCAAGAAAATGTATCTGCTTTAGCCTGAGCAATCCAGTATCCCACCTACTCGCAAAACATGCACCTTTGTGTTTGTCATAGAGATTATTGTGCGGGGATTTGTTTCGTATAGTATGGACCAAATGCGAGTGATGATTATCAGATCATCGATAGGATGATAACAAATAAGTCCATGGATATTTGATGAAAACGTTTCAACGTAATTTTCATTGACCACCACACATTAAGAGGTTAAGCAACGACCTGAAACACCGTCAACATGCGTGCCCTGGAAGACAGATATTTGTCATCCTTTTAAAGAACTGCCAAGCACAAACAAGAAAACGTCATAATTGAAAAACTGAGTACTGAGAAACTTTCAGATTTTTGGAAACAACTTTGATCGAACTTACTTCATTCAGTCGGTCCATAGTGGCCTGATCGTGATCTACTTCGACCTTGGCTTTCAATTCTTCACACTCCTTCAACAATGCAACTCGCTTAGTGTCAGACTTGAGCACCATTTCGAATGCTGGAGTTGAGTCCGCGACGACCTCTAAGATGATGGAAAAAAACGGCACACGTTCGTGAATCAGGATAGCAAAAAAGTCTAGTCAGTTGGTTCCTCAACGTGATAGAGCTATCACAGTGACAATATTAGAAGCTCACCTTGTTCACAAAGAAGTACATCGATATGGCTTGGAATATTGATTGCCCGGGACGCGATATGACGTAGTAATGTGGTTTTGCCGTGTCTGAAATTAAAATTGTTAAAAATAGCATTTTGTTTTGCATAGTTAAGAACACTGAAAAAGTAGTACTATCTACACGGTTGATGTGTGTCAATACATTGAGAAAATCCATCAACCACATTATCGACAGCATTCTGAATGAAAAAAGTAACCAACGTTCACTTCAAGAGTAACCTCACCCAAAGTCCTTAACAGATTAGGAGTTCAATGTTAGACTTTGATAAGCTTCGTGATCCCGAGAGCTAACGGACATTTTTAAAGACACTGCCGTTAGATTACCAGACCTCAAGAATGAAGCCCAGGGTAAATTACCGATGCTAACTCAATCGTTCACTACAGCAGACTGAGTAGCTCACAAACAATACTTAAGAGATGCTGGTGAAACGAAGAACCCTATGCCTACAGCTGCACAATGTACGCGATTTTGCAGGTGATTAAATTATAGTTTCATTCTTTAGCATACTATACATATCGTCAGTGTAAATTGAGATAAACGGATTTAGCCTTTCAACCATAGGCACAAACCCTTGGGATGTAAGAACTGGTCTGGAGGACTAAAGAATGAGTTATGACTGGATTAGCTGTGGGTAAATGAACAAAAACTATGGTACTACGGATGTGCACAAAGTTCTCATAGAGCTCATCTACTGCATACAGAATGTATACCTATCAATATAACCACTAAGGCGTGCTTCTAAAACCCGACCACATGAGTCATCTTCGTGCGACACCTGTAGAAGGAGTCGCCCTCTTAAGGTAGTTAGAGAAAGTGAGTAAAAAGTGCAATTTATCATCGGTTTCTAGTTTTGGGTAACGTGCTTTATTTTGGAGGAGACAGAGGTACAATTTTATTTTCTTTGTAACCGAAAAGTAGCTCCTATAGGCGTTTTTGTCGTGAATAGATTTTTCATTAGCAAATGTATGTATCATGACCGCGTACATGTTCAACCGGTTCCATTAAACTTTGATCGGCTATGGCTTACTGTTTCATCAATGGAACATTTAATTTTACATCCAGTGTTTAATAATATCACAGAACTGGATATTTCAATCAAAAAACCATAAATGATCGACAGGCATTACGACGAGTAATGCCTTATTTATTACAAATAAAATGAATGACACAGAAAAGGGGAATCCCCATAGACAAAACGCTATAAAACGGAGAGTAGCAGAACATTCACGTAAGATACGGTTCATTGATTCTGTTTAAGGTTGTAAGTTGGGGGGGGGGAGGACTGAAAGTGAGTGTACCACAACTTGGCAGTTCAGGAAAATAATATTATAGCAGACAAGCATACCTGGGAGCCGAAATCTGATAAGGATGACTATANNCACACACACACACACACTGTCTGCGGTTAATTATCTATCAATAGGCAGGCCGTCCACGGTCTCTTTGGGCATAACTTTTCAACCTTTTTCGTTGTTATTTTACACTCCACATCAAGTGGATTATTCGCACTATCCTCACTGTGCTATATACAAGCATTGTTTTCAATGATGAATCGGCATAATCAAAGTGGGATTGTCTCTGACATCAGTCTCGTCTGCATACGACAGGCTTTCTGATTTGGTGTCCACCTATCGAACTTCACTGCTCTTGGTCCATACATATTGACAAGTGTGGTAGGATAGCAGGAGAAAGATTGTTACATTTTGAAGACGACGTATTCACCCCAGCAGGTGGAACTAGCGAACTGTGCGGCGTTTGTTTTATTTTACCGAAATTCGGATAGTATTCTTTTTCAGTTGTTGTTCTTTCCCAACCAATAACGATGCACTTTTGTGCGTCTGTTTTGGTTGCTGTCTTTTGGCTTCCGGTTTGGATAAGGGAGCGGAAGAGTAGTGAGTAGATGCAAGAACACCTTGAGTTAACAATACGAGCAAGCTTGTTTCCGTCACTTTGCCTTCAGGCCTTTGCATTTGCATAGATGTTTATATATTTGCGCAATCCTAGGCCACCTCGTGTTTAAGAAGTGTAAGTTTGTAAGTTGGAAGGAAAACAGCAAGTTGGAGGGTGTTCCACAGTTTTTCAGTTTGGGTTAAAGAAGAAGATTGGAGCAGAGAGGTACGACATGTGGGAGAAGAAATCTGATAAGGATGACTATTTCCTGTGTATGGGATGGGCGAGTAAAAGTTGCAGGAAGAGTAACTGCCGTGGCAGGTTCGGAAGAACAAAATCCGAAGTAGTAGCGGTAGAACAGGAACAATGAAGCAACTGTCCGACGATGGGCTAGCGACTGCAGACTGGATGTTGGGGAAGGTTCATCGATTAGCCGGGTTCTTTTTAGTTGAACACGATCAAGAAATAAAAGGAAGAAGCCGTAGCCCCACCCCACACGTGACTACAGTATTCAAGAGCTGGGCGGATTCGAGCTTTGTACAATAGAAGAAGATGAGCTGGGGTGAAAAAACGTTTGGCGCGAAATGGAAATCCAACCTGGCGCGCAGCACGGGGAGCAAGCTTAGCCATAAAAGGGGGCCAGCATAAAGAAGGAGTTATAGGCCATCCAAGAAGGTAAACAGAGTCTGTCTACCACAGTTGGGTGGACTTAAAAAATAAATGTGGGGAGGGGGGGGGAGAATCAATGGTGTTTTAAATAAATTGAAAGAAGAGAGGTTTTAGAACTATTGAATGACACGTGGTTTGCAATGCCCCAGGAGAAGATGTGTTTGAGATCGGAGTCCAGTGACACATTAACTGCACTACGGTCTCCATCGATGTTGTCTTGAGCATGGCGAGCAGCGAAGGGTGGCGTCATCAGCAAAAGAATGGATCGAGTTGACAGTTTTGGAAATGAGATCATTGATGAATAGAAAGAAGAGGGTGGGCGCAATTACTGAACCTTGGGGAACACTAGCGTTCATAGGGAATGGTTGAGATAGAACCCCATCAACTCGGACGGAGATGGTTCGCTTGCTGAGGAGACTTGATATCCACGCTACGAGCGCCGGAGGGAACCCGAACATGAGTAGTTTCGCCAGTAGACTTTCGTGCCAAACTCGGTCGAAGGCCTTTGAGATGTCAAGCGAGAACAAGTGTGTTTCTCAGTGGTTATCGAGTGACGCTGACCAGGATTGTGAGACGAGAGCCAGCAGGTCGCCAGTGGAACGACGCTGTCGGAAGCCATATTGGCGGTCGTTCAGTAGTCCTTCACGTTCAATGAACGTGCTTAGCTGACCGGAGATGATAGTTTCAAATTTTTTCGAAAGAGTAGATGTGAGGCAAATGGGTCGGTAATTGTTGGGGTCAGCCAGATTGCTGCTTTTGGTAATGGGAAAATTCACGGTGTGTTTCCAGGGGGTTGGAAAGGAGGAAAGTTGGAGGGAAAGAGTGAAAAGATGACGTAAAATAGGAGCCAGCTCGGGAGCACACATTTTGAGGATGATGGGTGGAATACTGTCCGGACCGGGTGGTTTGTTTACGTTTGGAGAGCGCAATGTTTGACGGATTTTCCTAGTGTCGATATGAGGTAGAAAAGAGTTGCCAGTGAAGAAGGTGGAGGTGCAGAAAAATGGGGTAAGATGGAATTGGCGGCGAACTGTGAAGCAAAAACCCTTAGCTTTCTCGTGTAGTTGACACCAGGGGAATTACAGATAGGGCCAGAAATTACGGAAAATTGCTTTGGCAAGGGACGAAAATGTTCGGCTACCGGTGGCGGATGGGACCACTTATTCGGCTTTACGGCGAACGAAGCGTTCGTTGGTTCTCTGGATGGTCGTCGAGCATGTGTTCCCAGCTTGCACGAAACGATGGTGAGAGAGGGGTTGGGCGATCGGCGGAAGGCTGAACGTTTTAGGCGTACAGCACGGTCACATGCATGGTTAAACCACTCCGAGGATTTGGGTTTGCCGGGTTTGGAAAAGTGCAGAATAAAAAGAGGCATACCCCTGGAGAACAATGTCGGTGAATTTGGGAACAGATTTGGAAACATCCGAGGAGAATCAGCAGTCGTTCCAGGGATAGGCAGCTAGGAAATCGCGGAAAGCGTCGCAGTTGGCTGAGTTGTAGCGCCAGAATGTGTCTCGAGGTGAGTGGTGGTTTGGGACTTGAAAACCTAATAGAATAAGAAACAATACAGTGATCCGATGAGCCAAGAGGAGGGAGGATACCAATATCTGAGAATTAGATCGAGGGTGTGGGCACGATCGCCAGCTCGATCAGGGACACGTGTGTGTGTGGGGGGGGGGGG